GGCTAGATGTACGTGTCAGTGTGCTATGATGTTTCTTTGAATAGACTTTTGGTAAAACATTGATGATACAATGATCGGAGTTTGCCAGAGGGGTTCCTCTTCGCACAGCAAACAGGTCAGGATCGTTCGAAAACATAAGATCAAGCCGCGCGTCTCCTCTTGTGGAGAAATTTACAATATTGCGGAGAAAGAGACGTCAAGAAATGAATATCTGCATAGTTGAAATCGCCGCTAACAATAAAAAGAGAACGTTCAGTGTAGTTAGAAAGTTCGGATATAAATACATCAGCAAACGTCTGGACATCAGAAGTTGCACTGGAAGGTGCTATGTAAGTGTTTGATGCCACAATGGAACGATATTTACTAACGAACCGGGGTTTACATTCAACCGAAAGACATGAGATATATCCTACGTTGTAATTGAAGATAATCTTTGTAGACTTACACCAAGACGATTTGGTGTAGGTTATTAGACCACCGCCTCGATTTCGTAGTAAACAGTCTCTATCCTAACGATGCATATCAAATAGATCCAGCTCAATCAAAAAGTCGTTTATGTCAGGATGCAACCACGTTTCTTGTAGCATAACTATCCCCAATGCATGGTATTTTTTCGTTCTTATCAGTTTGTGAAGTCTCTCATTTTGCCAAATAGTGATCGTACGTTTGATGAACACATGGCAAGGATAGACATTTTCTGAGGAAACCTGATTTAGACGGTCTGCATCTTTTGTATCTATTTTTAAATTGACGACTGAACTGATAGAGAATGCCACTCTTGCGCGATAACACATAATGCTGCAAATTCTTTAAAGATTCCAGGGCGTACGTAATCATGAAAGCGATGAAAAAAAAACTTGATTCAAACGAGTAAATCCAATGTGTGACGTAAAAGTTGATAAATTGTTCACTGGAGCACAAAAATGTATCACAGCCGAAATTTGAAGGCCCCGCCCAACAACTAAAGTTACAGTCACTTGTAACCATTCCCCACGATCCTCTTCAGTTCGCGTATAAACCCAACAGATCCACTTTGGATTCTATCTATTGAATATCCATTGAATTTGTGTATACTTCTATATTTTCTATGGTGTGCCGACCACTGTATGATTTTTAACTGAAATGTAAGCATATCTCAGCTTGCAAAAGTTATGTAAATGCAAATACAAATACACCGCCATTGTTTACTAACAAATAAGATGAACTTTACTACTTCAACTATACTGAAGTAGGCAGTGTTGAAATCTGGAAAAAAATGGTTCCCACGTACCATTGCAAATTGTACAACCTCCTCGACAACTTGCAGTACAGAGGTGCATACGATTTACGCCCGAAATAGAAATCAGTGGAAGGAAATTATCCGACTTACACATCTAGAAGTCCAGTGACAGAGTGTTGATTGTATTAGTAATAGTAAAATGAAACTGAGTCGATTGGAATAAGAACAACGAGCCTAACAAGAAATTCAACCACGGTTATTCTCCTCTTGATGAACATCACATTGACACATCACTGTGTCAGTGACTCGGGAGTCTAACCACATCTCTTGAAAGTTATAACGATAAAGCTATCCATTTTACTTGTGGCTGTATTACACGGACTGGGTATGTTAAATGCGCTATTGTGTTGGAGGAATTCAAGAGGACAATCGTTATCCAGGGGCTAACAACTGAGGAGTTCATTCATTCCTTACATTTCGGAATGCGTTTTATTCACGAAATACTTGTGTGTAATAGCTAGGTACGTAAAATTGTTTCTATTAATTACGGTGATCAAATTCACTGCCATTTCGTGACTCTGCGTTACACTCCATCATCATTTTAGTAGTATCAACAGATAAAAGGAAGTCCAATAATCGTCATATCTGATTGAATGCTCAGTGGTTCTTTTTCTCTCTGTAATACATTTGATCATTCTCAAAAGCACTGTGATATGTACAACACAAACCGTCTTGGTTGCTTGTTTTTTGTAAATAACTCAGTCCCAGTCGTGTTTACTCGCAGGAACTAGAGGTGTAATGAAAGGGATCGCCTGAGCACTCACCCATGGTTCGTTTGTTTTCCTGTGTGATCTCGGCCACTACAGCTCCGATTCCCTCGGGGACAATCGGTTTGTACATCAAACTTCGAACAATATCGCCCAAATATGCAGCCCATATATCAACCACACGGGAATAGAGACTATCGGCTACTGGAATTTTATCCCCAGGCGGTTGAATCATCATTTGTTCGCCCAAAACCATTTGTTGGCATGGCTGAGTGGAGAGACTACATTTTGAACCACTCATGGTCGTCAATGATTTAGTGAAACCGGGAATTTTTGGTGTTGCTGACGGTCCCGTCAGTCCGATTGATTCATTTTGCCGTTTGGATGATGTTTCATTGCACGATTCTTCCTCCTTTTTGTGCATCGCATGGAACACTTCGGCCATTTGGAAATAACCGCCAGCCGTACGGATATGATCTGTTCCAAACTCACAAGAGGCGTAGAAAACCTGTGAAAACAAAAAAACAAAAGCAGTGGAAACCACAGCACTCGATGGAATACAATTAAATGAGGTTATAGCAAACAACTGAGATACTTTCAGGTTCGAGAACAATATAACTTAAATTCTTTAGTGTATCCAACCTTAGTTAAGATCTGTGATAGTATAACTGTACATATGGCGCAAGACGAGAGATTGCTGATAGAAACATGTACTTAATTTGCTAATCAGAATTAGTTTGTTCCAAATCAAAATCAAAATATAATTTGATAAAACGATCCTGACCAGATTGCTATCACTGACAATCATACATATACATATATGGTATATATATTACCGGATTATAGAGAATCATGTTGACAACGCCACAACAATAATAACAATAACAATAAAAGGGGCAGGTGGACTGGACTACAGAACCAAGTGGAAAGAAGTCGAAAGAGGTAAACACGGTAAAATGGTATATAGATGGGATAACAAAGTTTTTGTGTTTCATCGTACACTTTCTGCTATTTTTTGTGTTGTTTATTGTTTTTTACGGGCCGAATGTCAAGTAACTTATGTGGTACTCTATTTCGCGCCTAAATTTTCGGATCCCACAGTGGATCCTCGCAAGTCCACCGCTTACTCCCCCCCCTACTGTTGTTTATCCTGCTATGGTATGTAATAAGAAGAAGGTATTGCTTTAAAACCTACTTCTGAATCAAAACTGTTAGATAGTAAAACATGAATTCAGTGGATCATGTGCTCTGCTAATTTCATGACAACGTTTTGCACGCCTTTATCTCGCTTCATTCAACTGATTGCGGGTGCTGGGAATGTTTGGACAATGGCACTCTTGTTCCGGTTGCTGTCTGTAGCAAATCATTTCAGCCGGACGCAAGCTATACTTAGAGAATAGGTGGATTCGTGTCTAAGTAGTAGTGGAAGGAGATGATTACGAATTACGACAAGCATTCTACAAACGATCATAGCACTGCTGCCGCCGAGGATGGCCGAAGGATTGCTATTACACGGTCATCGGACTAGCGTAACCTCGGAAAAGAAGCGGACAGTGTGCAGAACGAAATGAAGCGAAAACACATGCGGCAGGTGGTAGAAATCTCATGCCTGCCTAATCAATTGACGCGCACTCACATCTTTGGCCAAACTTTCTAGTGCAGCCGGATAATCGCCTTTGGCCGCATAAAGTAGTCCCAATTTACGATGCAGCTGAGATCGAATCGCGTTAGAACACTCGTGTTGCGTTTTGAGCATGGTCCACTGTGCTTGAGCCAAGTAGGTTTCCGCTTGACATAGCCGATTTAAACCTGTGTGTTGGTGTTGGCAAAACGAGAAAGTGCAATATAACGATCCGTAAAAGATACGAGTGGTATCGGACGAACAAAGAAATGATGAATTGCGTCGTATAAAGAGCGAATGAAGCATGAGTTAAAAAATCAAGATGAATCGAATAATGTTTTCTACCTTCTTCGACCTTTTCAGTGCTGGGTGCTGGGTTAGTGTTCGACCGTGAGGTCGTGAGGTCGATGGGTTCGCACTACGGATGAGACCCGATCAGTTCAGAACAGCTCTACATCACTTCACAGCTTTTCATCTTACATCTATTGTGCTCTACACATGATAAAATTAATCATGAAAACCTTTCAGTGTATTAAGAGGGATTAAATATGATGCTGAAAACGGAGAACCGAAACCGTAAAATCGTTTTGTTCACACTTATTTGCTCTGACTGGTTTTCATTCCCGCATAGATGGCAATGAAAACGTTTCCAACATCATCCAGGAGAACTTTCTATGTTATGTGAAATACTTAATATAATGGTAGACAGAGAGGATTTCATCGTTTCTTAAGGATATGGATCACAAGTGTAATTCATCGCATGGCCATGCACCATCCAGTAGTAGTAGAACTTGTTTAATGTTTTGCATCGCGTCTTCATCCCGACAAGGTTTCGTGATTCACCTTGACATCAACCTTGCTGTTTTTTTATTCTCATAGGTTTAGCACAGATGAATCGATTCACAGTTCATAGAAAGTAGACGAATGTCAAAATTTATCCTTGTTTGTGCATTGCCACGGATGTTGAAATTTAAAACTTGTCAAAGCTTTATCCAGTTTTTGCTTGAAGGAATCAATTATGGAATCAGAAACAACGTGTGGTGGCAGAGAATTCCAAGTAGTGCACACACTGAGGGCGAATGAATGACACCGGTATTCTAGTCGGCATTTTTGGAGCACTAATTTGAACGAGTGTTTCCTCAGGTGAGTTTTGGACGACAAGGTAAAGAGTGAACGACATGGATGATCTGGATTCTGCATTATTTGATACACCAAGATCAAGTCNCAAGTCCCCTCGAATGCGGCGGTACTGTGTGGAGTACAATTGCAGTGATTCCAGTCTTGCCGCATAACCCCTTAACCATTGTGGAGGCCAATCTTTGTGGACGTTCCAGAATCTTCCGACTGCGTTTCAGCCATGGATTTCACGATTGAATTGCATACTCCATGTGGGGCCGAATGTAGGCTGATAACAACCGTGAAAACAGCGTAGGTTCAAATTCGACAGGTACTCGCTTTAGCAAACGAACATGTCTTACAGCGGTGGAAGACGCCCAGGAGCAGTTTAAAGAACAACTTAGGTCGTCTTGGACAATAACACCGAGATCTTTCTCATTCGAAACATACAGAAGTTGGTGATCTCCCAGGAAATACGAAAACGGAGTTTTGTGGTGAATGGATACGCATGTACATTTTGATGCATTAAATTCCATGTTGTTTTCGATCGACCATTGACAGGCAGCATTAAGTGAAGTACTAGCGAGTCCTCTGATTTTGTCCCCGTTTTCCATATTTTTGCACCCTCTGCCCCAGAATGTCCGTTAAGGTCTTTTATAAAAACAAGGAAAAGTTGAGGGCCAAGAACGGATCCCTGTATAACTCCTTACGCTACGCTGATGGGATCAGAAATAGACTCAGAAACGCGAACTGCCATGATTCCCTGTCGAAAACATTCTTCTACCTAGCCCAGTACAAGTCCCCGAATACCGTGGTTGTGTATTTTGTGGTTTACTCGGTCGAATGCTTTGGAGAATTCGAGGTACACGACGCCCACTGCATCTCCGTGATCAGCTGCTTTTGTCCACTCTTCTCGGGCCAGAAGCAGGTTGGTGGTACATGATCGTTTGTGATGAAACTCATGTTGAGTATGGGATAATACGCTGTATTTTTCCAAGTGATTCATCACATTGTCTGAAACAATGGATCCCATGACCTTAGACAATACGGGAAGTGAGTAACGGGGCCGTAGTTAGGTGGGTCTCTGAGACAACCACCCTTGTATGTCGGAGAAATTCTTCCTTGTTTCCCTGTTTGTTGGAGCACAATTTTGTTGAACACTTGTTGGAATAGTTCGCTTAGTAGTTGAACCGAGTTACTTACCTGGTTTATAAGGGTTTCTGGATGGATATGATCTATCCCTGGAGATGAATTCCTTTTCAAACACTGCAGTTTCGAGGAAATGATTTCCGAGGAAAAATCAATTGTGGTGAGAATTGGATAACACAGGCGGTCATAGTCCGGTGTTCGCAGGTGCGTTGAACATTTGAGCGTACTGACTTTTTAGCATTTCAGCTACCTCCGTTTTTGTGACTGAAACACGTTCTCCCACTCATAGCACTGGAATTATTATCTGAATTCCTAGATAAACTTCCCCAGAAACACGACTGGTTTTGCAGTTGCTGCTGTGCCTCAGATTTGTATATCCGATAATGAACTGCTCATGAAAAACCTGTTCGAACTTATATTTCCATAAACGTGAATTACATACGACTGTAATGCCAGATAGTGTGCGCGCAATCGAGCGTTCCAAGTCAAGTTATTCCCAATTCATGTTGCGTCATGGGTAATGTACACGTACCGATACTCGACTCCGCCAGTATGAGGTAAGGAGAAACAAGCTCGACACTGGCCAAACCGTATGCGTCTGCCGTGAACTTCAAACACTGCAAGGCGGCCGGAACTGCTTCTTCTGGTTTTCCTTGAAACAGCAGTTTCTGCCCGATAAGTTGTGTCAGACCAACCATATTGATCTTGATAGGTGAAAGAGAACAACAGGAATAAATCGGGGTAAGCTGAGAAACTGACTCGTTTGTTTGTTATGGGTTTGTAAAAGTTCTAAGCAGAGGTTTGATTGAATGCAAATGGTATTGTTAAATTTTGTATGGGCAATCGTCATGTTCAAACCTCCTCACTTAGCTGTTGAACAGCTCTCGTTGAAGAACTCATTCTTGGTATAATGGTAACTCATGTTCGATTAATGCAATCTCCTAGGATACTGATTTCGTTCGTGTACATATTTATTAATTTTGAAGGTTTTCTTTACTGGTTGGCAAACAGCACTGTGCCCAATTGGGAAGCAGCAGTAGTGTGCACAATCCGCCGGGACTCAAACCGTGACCTTATGTTTTGCGAGCCAAAACATTCCACCCTAAACTATGTGGTCGATAGGCTGCATGAACTTGTGTAGGAGTGAGAGATATACGCGAGCAGCGGTACCTAAACCTAATGTCTATAAACCTGCATAGAATAAAACAATATCTAACACCAAATAGTGAACTAAGTTCGTAAGAAAATCCTATTAACTTCGATTTTCTTCTGTTCATAATTATATATGATTTCATTTTCAGATTGCCCATGAGACTCCACGAGTATCAGATGATATGAATGCGCACACTGCATATGCGAGATCTGACCCTACGAAATTCGGCAGTTTGCCCATGGCAAGACAATGTAATAATACCCGACAAATAATTCTTCTGTTTCAGTTTTTACAACCACTAACCATGCAACTTCGTGGGATGCTTTTGGTTGCTGCCTTTTGGATAAAAGAGCAGAATGAAGATTGGAATGTTGAGAGCGGAGTCAAAGAGAAGATAGAGCGTAAAGAGTATAAAGACTGGGGTTACAAGAGTATTGAGTAGATACACGAGCGCCACTGTTTACAGCACTTCGTGATATCACTCAGTGTCTCTAATCACCGGTTACCGTAATTTCCAGGTCTCCATCCAGGGAGCTTAATAGTACCTATGAAACCCGGTGCCCTGGTTAGGAGTGTTATACCCTCATGCCAAGCCCTAGTTTGACCGCTCTTGACCTTTTTCCATCCACTGCCTGTCTCGGCGAACATCACTTGCCGTGGCAACCTATCTGGTGGTATGTACACTAACTTCAACATTGCTCGTTCGATTTCCCCATCAAATTCGTGCAATACTGCGTAGACAGCGGTGTTCGAACACTGACAATCCATTTTATCCTGTTCCCGTAATGGCCAAGTCTCTGCTCCGTAGAACAGCACTGGTCCAACTGCTGGAGCAAATTCGCGACCCTTCCCAGAAAGCCGGATGTCGCGACGGCGCCACAGATGTTTCAAGTTGGCAACTGCCAACCAGTCCTTCTGTGTGTGCCTACACTTCATCTGTGCTGATCCGCCAGGTTAGATATAGCCATCCAGATAGTAAAATGCGTCTACTTCCTGTACTTCTTCCCCAGTCTGGATCAGGTTTGGAGTAGTGGATCAACCCGGCATGACACCTATAGTCTCAGTTGAGTCCCTTTTAGGTTGAATTACTAGTCTGTCCCCGTGGGAGATAACAGAAGCACATGGGCCAGATATTAATTCTATCATATTAGCATTCAGTCAACTGCTGTAGGTTAGAAATTATTTCAGTTATAGCCACTGTCGCCTGTTATGTGCTCAAAAAATTCACTAATGATCTGTAATGTATAACTAGCGGTTTTGTCTGCCGTAGTGCAAATGAGAAATCGTCCCGGACCGTTTGAGAATCTGACTATGGGGTAGATCGAAACTCCTGATTTACCGGTAGATATCTATACCATTCCGCTACATTCTTCACACAGATGGACCAAAAGCTGCGGAGAATAGGAAACGGTAGAGGAAATGCTGGAAAAACATTTTACACAACGGTTGTCTAGTTGACGTGGTACTCGATAAAATGAAATGGCAAATATCCATTTTCTTTCCGCTATACACGTTCGGGTTGATTAACTCACGTTTTTATTCTGTAACTCATCCTTGAGTTTTCTTCTTTCGTCCTCGGAGGCGATGAACGGGATCGGTTTGCGCAACGAGATTAAACTGTTGCATATTTTCTCATGGATTCCAACCCAGTCGATTTTCTGATGTTCCACTCCACTGTGATTTCAAAAAAGAAGGTGTACAACTTATCAACTTTAATCGTACTTACCAATAGTAGGTTACCCGACACAACGAGCATTGAAGTAACGCTGGCTTGCCACATACTTCGCACGAGTAATCTGTTCCTCTAGGGTTGGCCAAAGGATAAAATGGAATCCCTGGCGGAGGTAGATTCATTTTAGTCTAGTATGGAGTACGCTTTTGTTTTTCTTTTGAATCGCCACCGTTAATTTCGAAATGGGCGCCCAAATGCGCGATTCAAACCACAATGTGCTCCTCCGAGGTGGTAGTCTGAAACGACCGTAGAACAGAACACGTTGTGAGTGGTCCGCATCAACATTCACGAATCAATGAAACCACAAACACCCGTCTTTGTTGTAATGTTGCACTCTATTGTTTCCATTAGCATCCGATCAATGAATAATCGAACCGGTTGCCTTACACCCTAATTTATCATACCAGCGGTCAACGACCATGGTTCTTAACAGTTAGAATTACGGTTCAGCAGCATGTTCTTGGTATTAGTATTTGTATTTCACACAATTCTGAATCCAGACTGAGTGTCAAAATATCCTAGTACAATTATCTCTATAAAAAAGAGAAATTTCAACGATTTGTTTGTGGTTGGAATACTGCTAGGTTGCCCAAGCCAAAGGGGACGAAGTCTCGTGGGGAATTCAGAAGCAGAGGCTTTACCAGCCAAAGCCTGACGCTTAAGACACCGGGGCTGTGCGTGAAAACCGAAATCCATTGGGAGCCGGTGTCCAGTTCATCAGAACATATGCCCTTGGACGAGGACAAACGTCCAAGGTCTGGAATCATGGCTGTTAGCCAAATCCCTTAGGTGAACTGCCTGTGGTTCACCGACCTGGTCATAGCCCCGGATATTGACTTCTCGTAGTTTAGTAGGAAAACCCTCCGCCACAGGATGGCAGTGAGTAGAGCTTCCTCGATAGAGTCCGTTTGATACGTTTGCCAATCAATGGAGTATGATGGTTCAGTTTTTGGGACTAATGTTAATTGGATGAGGGAAACTATGACCGTTAGAAGTTAGCATTTCTTTTTTGAAGAGAAACCGATTTCGCGACAAATAGTTGATTACTTGGTTTTGAAAAAATTCCATCTGACAGATCTATCTACCCATGTAGTTCGCCGGTTGTGAAAAAAACAAGTCACAGTTTGCAATTTTTCAAGATAAACTTGACAGCAGTTAGTCTGACTAAAAGTTAAGTCGATCTTAGTGAATACTTGTTACCGGTATCAGGATAAGGAGACGGGATCGCACCGTCAAATCAAACTGACTATGTAGAGATGGTGGATAATGTGATAAGAATTATTGGAAAAGTCGTTTTACGCTCCACCAACTGTCATCAGTGTAACCACGGGTATACTCAGAATGAAACAATTTTTCCCCCTGATAAATTTGAAAGAAAAGCCAGTGTAGAGCAATACCGCACGATTTAAGTCCTGAACGATTTTTCCTTATCTCAACTGGTTCCTACTACCAATGTGGGTGCGGTAGCACTTACATAGGTAGAACACAAAGGCAATTATGTGATCGAGTTTTAGAACACATTCCGAACTGGGTTCACCTCAAGGTTGTCATGTCAAAGTCCACACACTCAGTACCCGGTAAGGATTGTGCTTACAAAACACCAGGCTCCTCGATTGCCAAGCTCTTGTTGATAGCGTAACATCTCCTTGTTTGAAAGAAAGCATTATGAGTGACTTTTGTTAATGATAACGCCAGAATGCTCAAGATTGTCAAGGCAATTGCAATCAACCGAGGGAAACCAATTTTGTGTCAACAAAAGGACCTGTTCATCACCCTGGTTTCATCTTGTTGGTCCTTCCTCCATTCACATTTGTTTATTTTGTCATTTTTTCTCAAACCCTACTATATAAGCATTGTATTTGTCTGCAGTAAGCACCAGTTGAGATGCAGCGAAATCGTTTACGATACATTCAAATTGTCCATCGAGAAACTCTTGCATTTGGCACGGATCTCAAATTAGTAATGCAAGGTTATTTGCGTACCCCGAATTGGAAGTGGCTTGTCATTTGGGAGTAAGTACATCGAGGCCACAGGCAAACAAACAGTCGTGTGTAATATCACATTGGGTACACAACCGTAAAGAAAAATATGAATAGGGAAATTCGAATGAGCCTTATGCACTAGACTTAAAGCAGGAACGTTTTTCAAGAAAACTCGCTGCTTCAGTAGGAAGAAGCCGAATGAGTCAAACAAAGCCCTAGGGGGGAAATTGTTTTAGAGTTTTCTTCATAGTGGAACCGTGACCGATACAACTTAAACTTGGACCCGAACTGTAGAGTACAGTGTTCTCTTAAGATAGATGGTCAACGGAGTAAAGTTAGTCAGCTGCAAAACTATTGAGCATTTCATCTTTTAGTTCGCTAGTGTAGGCAAATTAAAATATCTCTCAGGATTTCTTCTTTCTGACATGCTGAAGAAAGTACAACTATGGGTCTTAATATCTAAAAGTTGATCCATATAACTCTGTTTTCTTTTGAATATACAATGATACCATTTTCAGGAAGAGCGAAGCGACCAGTCGAAGGGCGGCAATCGAACACACAATGAGGAAAGTCAAGAAACGGTTATGGGATGCGAACACCTGTCCTCCAGGGGGCTAATTCGGAGACATTTACTAATGGGCCACTACCACAAGGTCCGAAAAGAAGAAAATAAGAAAAAGTAGGAAACTATAATGAAATTAATAAGTCTCTTGTTAGAAAAAGGTGAAAGCGGATGACATTTATATAGTGGTTGTATTTAATGCCAAATCGAATCTATTCAAATTGCTCACGGATAAATATATCTCACTTTTATTAATAACATGTCAAAATATGTCCTTGTAATGAGACCAGCTACTGTTTTTCCCCTTTTATGTTATAAAAGCTTCCGTGTTCACAAACAATGTCTAGGCTCTATCTGTAGTTTCTATTGACCATGCAATGAAAGAGGGTGATCCAGATTGTCATTTCCTGTATATATTTTTTTTGTAACCAACTATGAGTTCAGTCTAGTTCAGTTACTTCAACCGTTACCGATGCACTCTCGTGCTCCAGTTTTGGTTGCTGTCTCAGGACTGTCTATCTGCATGGAGACCAAGGTTGCGATTTGATGCACTGTTTATAACACTCAACTATATCAATAAGTATCACTAATCATTGATTAGAATGATTCCGAAGTCCCCAACCTGGAAGCTTGCATCTCACTATGCATGACTTTCCAGCTAGACTGAGTCCTGTCTCAATCCATGACGCAATTTTGCTCGATACTGCATTATTTGCTCGAATCCTTTAGCGGTCACTTTCAATTTCAGTTTTCAGCTTACACAACAAATAAAATTGGACTTTCATACAGTAGTTTTGGTTACTGTCTTTCGGCTACCGATTTGGCGGAAGGAGTACAGGTCAGAACTATTTGGTTGATGGTAGTGCAAAGTGAGGATACAGATTCTGGCATCTCAGGGTTGAGAAGAAATTGTTTAGCAATACTGTTTAGAAAACTAAACTATCAATTGCACAGAAATCCAAACAGGGAGCTAAATCTAACCTACTTGTCCGAGTCTTCTGTTCAAAGATTCTATACCCTCACGACCACCCAAAATGCAACCTGTGGACATTCTGAACAATCCAATACGGCTTATATGAAGCCTAGCAGATTCACCCAGTCTCTAACCTTGTTCATTTTATCACGAAGTCTTTTAAGGATTTGAAACTCTGTTTGGTGTGTTTTCCTAGACTTAAATTCAACATGCGACTTGATTCTTCGTTCAGTGCCTGTACAAAACTCGAAATCGTTTTGATGAATTCCTATAAAAGGTTTTTCTGCTGTTCAATTCCTACGTATCCCACAGAGATAAATAACAATCATTTATCTAGCATTAACTCCATCAAATAGATCGGTGTAGTTATACATATAGCAATCTTCGTTCGTCAACCCACATCGATAAATAAGTTTAAATTTACTCTTACTTTATTATTCTCCAGCTCTTTCCTCTGATTTACTTAGATAAGATTCTAAACTCTTTCACCGCGTTCTAACGTTTATTGGCCGCGTTTTTCCAATTTCTGTGAACAAGTCAGTGTCCAACTAATGCAAGTAGAGGAACTTCTACTTTACCTTTCTCTCCATCTTGCGTTCTTGTTCTTGTCGGAATCAAAGGAGTTAAATGATAATCCTAATTGTTCTCTCCATTTATGGTTAAAATTTCTAGCATTACTCGGTTGTAAAGCTCCAAAATTTACACTTAATATCAATAATTCCGTTCTGAATCGGTCGTCCTGCAGAATAATCAGCATTGCGCTGCCCATTGAGTCAAGCGGAATGAATAGTGATAAATTGGCCACTGCTCAGAAATCCCGATCTTTGTTCAACTCTTTTCTTTACAATCAACTTTCTCCATTTTCCCCTTCTTCCGATTGTTAACATTCCATCAAACAACTTGTGCGCCACTCGCCAAAGCTCGGGGTCAAATGATATTAGACATAGTTTACCACCAAATACTTTACAGATTCTAAAGCCTTGGTGACCTCTGATTTCGGGGGTTTTCAGCCCGAGTATTCTTATGCACTTAAGTCAATAGATATGTCTTACAAACAAAATGAACTAACCAGGGCTCTGAACGTCGCAGGGTCCACACTTTGAAGGCTGGAGGATTTTCCAAAAGGGAGTTTCTTATCAGTGAGGGTTTCACAGGCGCAATATGCGTGGTATGCAGTCACCTGTGATATCCCACAAGGATTCTTTTGTATCCCACTGCTGTTCCTGATCTTTGCAAACGACATACCATCAACGTTGAGCAACCCGTGCCTAATCTACGCTAACGACCTCAAGCTCTGGCGAACAATCCGGTCGGAGGCGGATCAGGTGTCTCTTCAGGATGATCTGTATGCTCTTTTGGACTGGTCGAGGGTGAGGAGGTTACCGGTGAACATATCAAAATGCGTCCACTTGAGGATAAAAAGACATGGTC